CTTCCTTCCTTCCTTCCTTCCTTCCTTCCTTCCTTCCTTCCTTCCTTTCTTTCTTCCTTCCTTCCTTTTTTAAGTAGAGTTTCACTGTGTAGCCCAGGCTGACCTGGAACTCACTGTGTATTCCAGGTTAGCCTCAAACCTGCACTGATTCTTCATTTTTAGTCTCTCAGATGTTGGGACTACAGATATGAGCCACCATGCCTAGTTTTGTGTCTGAATTTCATGTTTAACATGTTAACAGACACAAAAAATTATAAGCACTCACATAACTGATGTGAACAATTAGCATCCTCTCCACATTGTGGTGGTGGTGGTGGTAGTGGTGTGGGTGTAGCCTCAAACACACAGGTGGTACAGAACGACCTTGGAGTTCTGATCGTTCTGTACTCAGGTGGGTGCAACTGCCCCATTGTTGCTAAGATCACAGAGATCCACTTGTTCCTTTTCCTGCATTCTCTCCCACAACTCCTTTCTGTACAGTTCACACTCCTCTGTCTTCAGTGCTTTCTGTGCTCATGATGTAGGCTGTTCTCATTACATTCAAAGAGACTCTTGATAGACTGGAAAGTAGTTTCTATGAAAATAAAAAACAAAAACAAACAAACAAACAAACAAAAAAAAAACATGAGAATCGTTTCCAGATGAAAACTTCTGTAGAAACTTTGGAGTAGTGTGCGGAGTTAGAGGAGGTAATTTAGGGACAAGAGAAGCATATGAGAGAAAAGCTGCCCAGGCAGAGAATTGTCAGTGCTACCAGCAATTTCCAGCTCTCCACAGCCTTGCCTGATTTTCCTATTGTGTTTCTAACAGCCATACAATGCCAGGCACATAATAGACACCCAGTAAATAATTGTTAGTTAAATAAATGCAAACTTAGCTTAGTACCCAAGGTTTTGAACTATCCTATGATGATTCTGAGTAGCTGTTTGACTTTCTTCTCCAAAGGAAATACAGCTGTGAAATGTTGCTTTCTTTGAATCTTTAGGTTTCTAAAGTCTCTTCATTGGAAGTTGAGTGCTAATACCAGTACCCCAAAATGATTTGTGCTAAGCATGGCTATCTAACTTTAAAAGTTAGAAGTAGAAGTAACTAAACACGGTTGTGTCTTCCTCATTTGCAGTGTGACTAACACAGGGAAACATTACTTTTTGTTATTGTCATTTGAGACAGTGTTTCATCAAGCCCAGGCCGGTCTCAAACTTACTATGTGTACTTGGACCACACACACATACACACACAAACAAATTGTTACAAAACATTTAAAAACACATATCAGCCATGATGTATTGAAACTTAAAAGGAAAAGAATCATTTAAGTTCGAGCCTTTAAATGTACAGTAGTCCCCACAATAGAGCTGTGCAAGAATCTTCAAGCAGTGATGGAAGTGTTTTATATATGCCTGTCTGGTATCACAGGCATGAGCCATTATGAGCACTTAAGTTGTAGGTAGTGAAGCTGAATTACTGAATTTTTAACTTTACTTGAATTTCTTTTTTTATTTAACTTTTATTAATTACACTTTATTCATTTTGTATCCCCCCATAAGCCCCTCCCTCCTCCCCTCCCAGTCCCCCCTCCCCCCTTTCTGCATGCATGCCCCTCCTCAAGTCCACAGATAGGTGAGGTCCTCCTCTCCTTCTTTCTGATCTTAGTCTATCAGTTCTCATCAGAAGTGGCTGCATTGTCAGGGTTCTAGGTTATCTCCACAGATAGTCCTTGGTTGGAGTATGAGTCTCTAAAAAAAAAAATGTCATGTAAAACCTGATGTTGTGGCACGTACCTGTAATTCCTGCATTCAGAAGGTGGAGGAAAGAGGATTGTGAGCTTGAAGTAAGCATGGGCAGTTGAAGAAATTTGAGCAGTTAAGCAGTACATTCCAGATTATGTTCAGTCTAAGATCATAATTGAAAAAGGAAAGATAACAGACTAAGTTTGAGGCATGGGTAACCTAAGGTAGTGGAGCACATGTTCCAAGACTTGGTACAAGGAATGCTCAGTTTGTATCATAAAGTTTTAGCTGAAAAGATAAAGAGCCATTTGAAGGTATGTTAATATAGGAGTTTACTCCTGAAGGTCCCTGCCCCATCTAGCAGCTATCAGAAATTCATTTGCAGACTCACTAAATACCACCACCACCAGCTAGCAGTACCAGCACCACCAGCAGCAGCACAGTGCCATCCCTTCTGAAACCTTCCTGTACTGCCTAAGCCCTACTCATAGGCCATGATAACCAGTGACCTAGTCTCCCTCTTCTCCTTTAGCTAGACTATATACTTAAAAACCTTCTCTTTCCAATACTCAGGATTATGGAAGGTCCTTGGACAGACTAAGAAAATATACTACTATTAGGATGCATTCATATTAGTTTCCTTAATCAGAATGTCATAGACCTCAGATGAGGGAGATTAAAAAAGATCTGCTGCAGAAAGGAAGATTCTTTGATGTGAAGTGAGCACTATTCTTATCAGGAAAGGCCAGTGTGTGAACTAAGTGTCTGAAGCTAGGCATTGGAATGTGAGAGGGCTCAGGAGGGCTTGGTTCTTTCCTTTTTCAAGACAGGGTTTCTGTGTGTAGCCCTGGCTGTCCTGGACTTGCTTTGTAGACCAGGATGGCCTCGAACTCACAGAGATCCTCCAGAAAAAGCTTGGTTCTTTTGTTTTTCCCAGCATTTAAAATTTTATTTATTCATTTATTACAGTTTATTCACTTTGTGTCCCACCTGTAGCCCTCTCCTTCATCCCCTCTCAATCCTGCCCTCCCTGCCTCTTCTCCTCCCCTGCTCCTCCCCAGTCCACTGATAGAGGAGGTCCTCCTCCCTTTCCATCTGACCCTAGCCTATCCGGTCTCATCAGGACTGGCTGCAGCATCTCCCTCTATGGCCTGGTAAGGCTGCCCTCCCCCCTCAGAGGGAGGTGATCAAAGAGTCCACCACTGAGTTCATGTCAGAGGTAGCCCTTGTTCCCCTTACTAGAGAGCCCATTTGAATACTGAGCTGCCATAGGCTACATCTGAGCAGGGGTTCTAGGTTATATCCAGGAATGGTCCTTGGTTGGAGTATCAGTCTCACAAAAGACCCCTGAGCCCAGATTTTTTGGTTCTGTTGCTCTCCTTGGAGAGCTCCTGTCCCCTCCAGGTCTTTTTATCTTCCTAAGGCTTGGTTCTAGATAATTGACATTCTTATTTCTTATGTCATACAGTTGACTTAAACTAACTTCTGAACTTTCTTTCCAAAAGGTTTCACTAGAAGAAAAATGTGCAACTATTATTTATGACCCTAAACTTCAGACTCCAAAGACCCTCCAAGAAGCTATCGATGACATGGGCTTTGATGCTCTTCTCCACAATGCTAACCCTCTCCCTGTCTTAACCAATAGAGTGTTTCTGACTGTTACTGCTCCACTGGCCCTGCCGTGGGACCATATCCAAAGTTCTTTGCGCAAGATCAAGGGTGTGACCGATGTTACGGTTTCTCCTCAGCAGAGAACTGCCGTAGTGACCATAATCCCTTCTGTAGTGAGTGCCAGTCAGATCGTGGAGCTGGTCCCAGACCTCAGTTTAGATATGGGAACTCAGGAGAAAAGGGCAGGAGCTTGTGACGAGCACAGCATGCCTCAGGCAGGGGAAGTCATGCTGAAGATGAAAGTGGAAGGGATGACCTGCCATTCATGCACTAGCACCATTGAAGGAAAAGTTGGGAAGCTGCAAGGTGTTCAGCGAATTAAAGGTAATTTAACTGCTCTCAGTTTTTCTTTCTTTCTGTTTTTCTTTTTTTTTGGGGGGGGGGCTTTTTTAAAAAGTTATTCTATGTTTTGATCATTAAACTTTTTGCTTTCTTCCCAAGCATGAGTTTCAAATCTGTGGGCCTGTAATTGTTTTCTGCTTCATTGAATTTGGAGGCATAGCATATTCCCAGGATTAATGCCAATGAAATTAATGATTATAATGAAAGGTTAGGAGAGTCTTGAACTTTAGTTTAGCAGAAAAGGAAGCTGTGGTAACAATTCATGGAGTTCAGGCTTCCCGTACAGCCTGCATGGGCTATTCTTTAGCTCTAATGTATTTCTGCTGGAGTGATGCAGAAACATGTTGACCATAGGATCAGTGGGCATGTCTTTTGCTTGTTTCCAGTGTATGTCAATCTCATTTTCTGAAATGCACAAAAGTACCTAAGGAAAAGCATCAAGAATAGTGGGAGACAAACAGCAATGGACTCTGAAGTAGACCAGAAATAACTAAGTTAAATATGTTTCTCTTAATTAATTAGTGTCTCTAGACAACCAAGAAGCTACTATTGTTTATCAACCTCATCTGATCACAGCAGAGGAAATAAAGAAGCAGATTGAAGCTGTGGGCTTCCCAGCCTTTTTAAAAAAACAGCCCAAGTACCTCAAATTGGGAGCCATTGATGTCGAGCGCCTGAAGAACACACAGGTCAAATCTCCAGAAGGATCACAGCAAAAGAGTCCATCAAATCTCAGTAATTCAACCGCCACGTTTATCATAGAGGGCATGCATTGTAAATCATGTGTGTCAAATATTGAAAGTGCTTTATCTACACTCCAGTATGTAAGCAGTATAGTAGTTTCTTTAGAGAATAGGTCAGCCATTGTAAAGTACAATGCAATCTCAGTCACTCCAGAAATGCTGAGAAAAGCAATAGAGGCTGTTTCACCAGGGCAATACAGAGTTAGTATTGCAAGTGACGTTGAAAGTACCTCTAGCTCTCCCTCCAGCTCATCTCTTCCGAAGATGTCTTTGAACGTGATTAGCCAGCCTCTGACCCAAGAAACAACGATAAACATTAATGGCATGACTTGTAATTCTTGTGTGCAGTCGATAGAGGGTGTCATATCAAAAAAGCCAGGTGTAAAATCCATCCATGTATCCCTCACAAATAGCACTGGAACTATTGAATATGATCCTCTATTAACCTCTCCAGAAACTTTGCTAGAAGCGATTGAAGACATGGGATTTGATGCTGTCTTGCCAGGTAATCATCACTTTTACTTTGATATCGTTAAGATTTTTGTATTCCTGTTTTGTCTCTTTGTTTGGCTTTTAGCAACAAAAAAATGATTCATAGTCACTTAAATTCCACCTTTTTTGAGATGGTTTATTTATTTTTGGGGTGTGTGTATGTTGAGACAGGGTTTCTCTGTGTAGCCTTGGCTGTCCTATACTCACTTTGTAGACCAGGCTGGCCTCAACCTTATTGAGATGCACCTGTCTCTACTCCCTTAATGCTGTTATTAAGCGCATGCACCACCACACCTGGCTGAAATTCCACTTCTTACCAAGGAGTTCTATGGTGGTAGTCACCAGTATGTAAAAAATGCCTAAGGATATCATGAGCCCCAAACTTAAAGGCACAGCCAGGTGTGATGGCACACACCTTTAATCCCAGTATTCAGGAGGAAGAATAGGAGGATCTCTGTGAGTTTGAGGCCAACCTAGTCTACAAAGAGAGTTCCAGGACAGCCAAGGCTACACAGAGAAACCCTGTCTTTAAAAAACAAACAAAACAAAAACAACAAAACTTAAAGGCAGACCAAACATGGTGATTTATACCTGTATGTGATACACTGTACAGAAAACTATGTGAGGAGGTTGGTGAGATAGATGGCTCAGTTGTTGAATCCTTACTATGCCTCATTTGTAAATTAAACTTTATCACACACACACACACACACACACACACACACACACACACAAACACACACATTGGGTAACAGTACTATTGATACTTACCTTCATGCACCCACTGGAAAGTATTGCCCACAGATAAGGGAGGATTCCCTGGATGCCTGTGTGCAAATTGTCAGCATGGTAATGCTAGCTAAATACAAGCATAAAAACTGTCCAGTAACCAGTTAGTCTCTATGTTGAGTTGGGTTTGGAGATAATGGCTAAAAGAATATGACATAATGAAATTTTATTTATTCACTTGGTTCGGATTTTCTGGGGATCCTTTGGTGGGCAGTGAAGAAATTCAAAGTCATTGCTGAGAATGGATAATAACAATATATTTGTTGAGGGCTTTTAGCACCTTACTGATGTTAAAGAAATAGGTTGGCAGGCCTGGGTGTAGATTATGATATATGACAAGGTGGCAGCTGGAGAAGAACTAATACCACAAATAAAAAGAACCGCTTTCTTTCCAGCAGACATGCAAGAGCCTCTGGCAGTGATAAGTCAGCCCTCATTGGAAACACCTCTTTTACCTTCAACTAAGGAGCCAGAAAATGTGATGACACCAGTTCATAACAAGTGTTACATACAGGTCTCTGGAATGACTTGTGCTTCTTGTGTAGCAAATATTGAACGGAACTTAAGACGAGAAGAAGGTAATATGCTGTTAGGTGTTGTTATTTTATGTACTTATTTCCAGATTCCTTTCCATTTGTATTTCGTGGCCATGCTTACAATTCTTCCCAAGTCTTCATAAAGAACATCCTTGATGCACAGAACAACCCTGAATTTCTGGTAGTTTTTGTTAGTGTTATTTAATTTATCTTATGGTTACATTTTAGTGCCATTGAAATTTACTGAAAAGTTTATAGGAGAAAGAAATACATAGCATAACTATTGTGAACCATATAGTGGTAACTATAATGGACTTTGTGGAACTAATTTTTTGTTGTCATTAAAGCTGTTCTTAAAAGTGATAATGAGTAAGAATTAGGTATTGTTCTACCTATATTAAGTACCAGACCCAAACCATATTTGTGTACAATTGTATTGTCTCTTCTAATGGTTTGACCTCTGATCTTCCCTTATGGTAAGATGTCCAAGTTGCTTAGGATTGTATATTTCAACTTCAGGCTTCAGAATCTTTGAAAATCAGTTTCTCTTTAGTCACTCAGATGTTTTAGCTTATAAATTTATAGCCGCTGCTGTGTGTGGTAGTGCACAGCTGTAATTCCAGCACTTGGGGAGGCAGAGGCAGGCAGATCTCTGTGAGTTCAAGGCTGGCCTGGTCTATGAAGTGAACCTATGACAACCAAGGCTACATAGAGAAATCCTGTCTCAAAAAAAAGTTATCCTCATATTTATAGATGTTTCAATATGGAATAGTAGCTTAGTTAACCATATAGATATGTGATTGTGTTTAATGAGGCCAAAGTCTTGTTTGATATTAAGGCTGCCATAACCCTAAATGTCCTGATGATAGATGTTACTCACAAGGGCTGGATAAGGAAGTAAGGATTAATGTGGCAAGCATATCCTGACAATTAAGGAAATAAGTGTAATTAGCATGCCCTCTTTTATAGAAAGGCCAGAAGATTATATCTTTGTGAAATTTAAGGCATACATTTTTGTCTCATTGTGCTATCTGCGTTCAATTATTTATGCATTTTTCATTTCAGCCCCCTACTTTTCCTGACTGGATATACAGTCAAGGCTTTGTTTTGATTCATTAAAAAGGAAAAGAGTGGCAGCGGCAGGTGGATCTCTGTGAGTCTGAGGTCAGCCTGGTCTGCATAGTCAATTCCAGGGCAGCCAGGGCTACATATTGACACCCTGTCTTACAGAAGAAAAAGAAGGAAGGAAGGAAGGAAGGAAGGAAGGAAGGAAGGAAGGAAGGAAACGAACAAATGAATGTTGCCAAGTAAATGAATACAGAGGAAGCTTGCACAGTTCCTGTTTGTCTCACGGAAAGGAAACTTCTGTAATCCCCCAAAATGTTGATGCCACTTACAATTGTCTTCTCAGGGCCTCGTGAAAGCTAAATACATGCCTGGATATTAAGTGACACTCCCAACCCCCATTTTAAACTTTGTCAAGTTAATTTTCTCAGTTAATTTTTTGCTCTCCTTTGTATCACCTCTTTTTTTAACTTTTTTTTTATTAATTACACTTTATTCATTTTGTATCCCCCCATAAGCCCCTCCCTTCTCCTATCCCGATCCCGCCCTCCCTCCCCCTTCTTCACGAATGCCCCTCCCCAAGTCCACTGATAGAGGAGGTCCTCTTCTCCTTCCTTCTGATCTTAGTCTATCAGTTCTCATCAGAAGTGGCTGCATTGTCCTCTTCTGTGGCCTGGTAAGGCTGCTCCCCCTTCAGGGGGAGGTGATCAAAGAGCAGGCCAATCAGATTATGTCAGAGGCAGTCCCTCTTCCCATTACTATGTAACCCACTTGGACACTGAACTGCCATGGGCTACATCTGTGCAGGGGTTCTAGGTTATCTCCATGAATAGTCCTTGGTTGGAGTATGAGTCTCTGGGAAGTTCCCCGTGTTCAAATTATCTTGTTCTGTTGCTCTCCTTGTGTGGTTCTTGTCCTCTCCAGCAATTACTGTATCAGCTCTTATTTAAACCTTAGTCTGTGTAAGTTCGAGTAGTGGGCTTTCCTCATTACATTTGTCTTGCATTGCTTAAAAAGCCCAGAGGTTCTAAGAGTGGAGCTCCATGGCACAGTAAGCCTAACTGGCAACTTGTGTGCCATGCCTAGCCTGTATGAAATTTGTGCTCAATTGTCAGTACCACCTCTGAGATGGAAAATAACAGAAAGAGCTCTCATTATGTTTGAGAGGATTTGTTAAAATTAAAATAACTAACATAACTGATTGAATTAATGCTTTTTGGGATTTGAAAGTTATATTGTTTTTGCCAGGCTACTAAGTATATTCAACAGAAGCACAAAGATTTATTTTACGTCATCTATATTACTTCTCATTTTCAGTTTTTTAAGAGAAGATGTCACTGTATAGCAGTGGCTGCCTTGGATCTCACTCTGCAGTCCAGGCTGGCTTTGAACTTAGAGATCCGACTGCCTCTGCCTCCTGAGAGTTGGGATTAAAGGCGTGTGCCACCATGCCTGTTCCTACTCTTCTCTTCATAGTGACATTTTCTCTGAACTCATCATCTGAATAATTTTGTACTAAAAAACTCGCAATGCGGGGCTGGAGAAATGGCTCAGTGGTTGAGAGCACTGTCTGCTCTTCCAGAGGTCCTGAGTTCAATTCCCAGCAACCACATGGTGGCTCACAACCATCTATACCCTCTACTACCCTCTTAGAGCACTAATATGCATAAAATAAATAAATGAATAAAATCTTTTAAAAAACTCACAATGCTTATAAGCACTTTATATGAAAAATTGGGGTTATATTAAATTCTTTTACAAGTAAAATCTGTTCATAAATTAATATTTAATTTTTAAAAATCAGACTTCCGAGCTAACCTATGCATTCTTGATCCTAATTCCTTTAGTATCTTCCAAGTATCATAGATTCCTAGAAAGAGCCATTTTTACTGTGTGCTGTTAAGTATGTTCTTGGCAGTCATAGGTACAGCTGGCCTAAAGGAGTAAAAATTACTAACAAAAGTTTGCATCTGTTTCGATCCCCTGTTGGGTGAATCATTTCAGAAGACCATAATAGTAGGTTGTCATCCGGTTTCCTCTCTTCCACCATTTCTGGTTGCAGGGAGTCTTATGGAGGAAGGAAGGGGTGGGAATAGAGGGACATGGAGGGGACAGGAGCCCCACAAGGAGACCAACAAAACTAAAAGATCTGAGCCAAGGGAGTCCTGCAGAGAATGATGCACCAACCAAGAAAGTGCATGGAAAGGACTTAGACACCCTGCTCAGATGGGGCTTATTGGCAGCTCATGTGGATCTCAGAGTGAGGGGAGCAGGGGCTGCCTCCATCATGAACTCAGCTGACTGCTCTCTGATCACTCGCCCCTGATGATGCAGCTTTGCCAGGCCACGAGGGAAGAGGATCCAGGCAGCCCTGATGAGACTTAACAAGCTATTGGCAGATGGCAATAGTGGAAAACTCCCCCTTTCAGTAGTCTAGAGGAAGGGGGTGTCAGGAAGAGGGTGGAAGTGTGGGACTGGGGGGAGTTTAGGAATGGATTTCGATCAGGATATATAATGAATAAATTGTGAAGAAAAAAAAGTTTGCATCTGCAAACAACATTTCTGTCAGAGAGTAAACACATTTGCTTTATTAAGCAGTTACATTCTACCATCTGGGATTTATATGAAATAGTAAAACTTGAGATTTTTAAATGGCTGTCATTTGACTGTATTATATATTAGATTTTTTTTTTACTATAATTACAGTGATTTTCCAAGTGCATAAATTCCTTTCTTTTAGGAAAAGAATTAGTTTTTGGTTTGGCTTTGTTGTGTTCCAGGCTAGCAGTCCTCCAGCTGAGCTACACCTCCAGCCCAGGTTTTATTAGTTTCTAAAAGTGCTGCTTTCTACAAGATAGAGATTTACCTCATTGTAGTATATAGATCTTATTTGGATCCTTATTTAGGTAGAGTACTGTTTAACTAATAGGTTTTAGAAAATTGTTTTAGATGTGAAACTGATGTTTATGTGGCGTGTGATTGAACTACACACATACTAAGCAAGTGCTATAGCACTGCATCCCCAGTTCTATTGAGGTTGTGTGTGAGAGGTCTATCTTTTGGATATTTTTTAAATAGACTTTTACCTTTTTATATTAATTACAGCTTATTTACTTTGTATCCCAGCTGTAGCCCACTCCCTCATTCCCTCCCAATCCCATCCTCCCTCCCTCATCTCCTCCCTGCCCCTTTCCAAGTCCACTGATAGGGGAGGCCCTCCTCCCCTTCCAATCTGACCCTAGCTTATCAGGTCTCATCAGGACTGGCTGCATTGTCCTCCTCTGTGGCCTGGCAAGGCTGTTCGTTCCCCCATCAGGGGTGGGGGTGGTCAAAGACCCCACCACTGAGTTCATGTCAGAGACAGTCCCTGTTCCCATTACTAGGAAACACATTTGGGTACTGAACTGCCATGGGCTACATCTGAGCAGGGTTTCTAGGTTATCTCCATGAATGGTCCTTGGTTGGAGTATCAGTCTCACAAAAGACCCCTGAGCCCAGATCTTTCGGTTGTGTTCCTCTCCTTGTGGAGCTCCTGTCCTCTCCAGGTCCCACTAGGAGATTTATATTTAAATATTTGCACACAAAGTGATAGAATGTTTGAGGTTTCTGAGTAGAGGGAAGGGAGTAGAATAAGAATTTAGATAACTAAGGCCCAGTTGTAGTGGCCATCTGGGAGGCTGAGACAAGAAGACAGTTTGTATCTAGGAGTTCTACGTTAGCTTGAGTGACAGCAAGATTCTGTCTCTAAAAAAATATAATGTAATAAAAAGATGAGCCAGGCATAGTGGAGCAGGGCTTTAATCCTAGCACTCAGGACCCTGAGGCAGGCTGATTTCTGTTCTAACTCAAGGCCAGCCCGGACTATTTGGCAGATTCCAGGCCCGTTAGGGCTGCATACTAACACCCTGCATTGAGCATAAACAAGTGAGCCAAATGTTGCTGATAGTTGTTTAAGCTCAGTGAAGGCATATCCAGATGGTAATGTTGCCCCCCTTTTTACAAATATATAACGACAACTCTGTATAGTAAGTTTAAGGGACCAAGGCCACCTTTTAAAAATGTTTTTAAATTGTTTGGGTTTAAGATATGCATAAAAGTTGAGTCATAATTTTACATATATTACTTAAAGCAGTGATTGGCTAGTAAAAGGTTTAAAGTATGGTAAGATTTATTTTAATTTTGGTAAGCTTATACAAAACTGTCAATTTAAGGGTGTAAATTTTTATATGTAGGTATCTAATTTTTGTAAAGAAAATAAAGATATCATTTTAAAAATTGTTGAGTAGTAAATTTTGGCAAATTATCTTTGATACTTTTGTAGTAAAATGAGAAATATGAAAAGCAGTTTTAACATTCTTTTTTTGTAAAACCTGTAACCTGCCCTGTATTTCTCATCAATGTTTCCAGGAATATATTCTGTTCTTGTGGCTCTAATGGCTGGCAAGGCGGAAGTAAGATATAACCCAGCTGTTATCCAACCCCCAGTGATAGCAGAGTTTATCCAAGAGCTTGGATTTGGAGCCATAGTGATGGAAAATGCTGGTGAAGGGGATGGAATTTTGGAACTTGTTGTAAGTAGGAACTTTTGTATGTTTAATAGACTTCTAACAAATTTAGAGGCTTTCATAGAAAACTTGGCAAATAGGACATATGAAGGAAACTGGAAGATAGAAGGCTATATAACTTCATGGTAGTCTGCAAGCATGGAATGGAATTATTATCTTCTTAAAAAACAAAAAAAACCTAAGGTTGGGGTTGTCAAGATGGCTCAGCCAATAAAGGTGCTTGCCAATTAGTCTGATGACCAGAGCTTGGTGTCTGTGACCTACGTGGTGAAGTAGAGAACTGACTTCAGAAAGCCATCCTCTGAACACCACATGTAAACAAATACACTCAAAATAATGGGGTGTGGTTGTGCATGCTCAGAAGCTAGCATTTAGGAGGCAGACATAAGATTCCTGGGAGTCTGAGGTAAGCCTGGACTACATAGTGAAACACTTTCTTAAGGAAAGGGAAGGGAGGGAAACAAAAGATAAAACAACTTGGGACCAAATTAACTTTAGTGGAAAGAAAAGAAATTGTACCTGGTCGATTAAAAAAACAAAAACAACCTCTCCAGCATGTGTTGTCACTTGAGTTTTTGATCTTGGCCATTCTGATGGTTGTGGAGAAAGGGGAACCCTTCTCCACTGCTGGTGGGAATGTAAACTTGTACAACCACTCTGGAAATCAATCTGGCACTTTCTCAGACAACTAGGAATAGCGCTTCCTCAGGATCCAGCCATACCACTCCTAGGCATATACCCAAAAGAGGCTCAAGTACACAAAAAGGACATTTGCTCAACCATGTTTGTAGCAGCTTTATTTGTAATAGCCAGAAGCTGGAAATAGCCCAGATGCCCCTCAACTGAAGAATGGATGCAGAAACTGTGGTAAATCTATACAATGGAGTATTACTCAGCAATGAAAAATAAGGAAATCATGAAATTTGCAGGTAAATGGTGGGACCTGGAAAGGATCATCCTGAGTGAGTTGTCCGGAAGCAAAAAAACACACACGGTATATACTCACTCATGTAAACATACAACATAGAATAAACCCACTAAAATCTGAACATCTAAACAAACTAAGCAAAAGAGAGGACCCTAACTAAAAATGCTCAATCCCCATCCTGAAAGGCAAAGAGGATGGACATCAGAAGAAAAAGAAAACAGGAAACAACCTAGGAACCTGCCACAGAGGGCCTCTGAAAGCCTTTGCCGTGCAGACTGTCAAAGCAGATGCTGAGCCTGATGGCCAACTGATGGGCAGAGTGAATGCAATTTTATATAAGAAGTGGGAAATAGTAAGAGCTGGAGAGGACAGGAACTCTACAAGGAGAGCAACAGAACAAGAAAATTTGAACACAGGGAACTTCCCAGAGACTCATACTCCAACCAAGGACTATCTGTGGAGATAACCTAGAACCCTGACAATGCAGCCACTTCTGATGAGAACTGATAGACTAAGATCAGAAAGAAGGAGAGGAGGACCTCCCCTATCAGTGGACTTGGGGAGGGGCATGCATGCAGAAAGGGGGGAAGGGTGGGACTGGGGGGGAGGAGGGAGGGGCTTATGGGGGGATACAAAATGAATAAAGTGTAATTAATAAAAGTTAAAAAAAACAAAAACAAAAACAAAAGGGCACAAAAAGGTGGGTAAGGAAAGGGGTGTGTATATAGGAAGAGTTGTAGGGAGTTATAGGGAGAAGAGGTTACTATGATCAAATACATTATATGAAATTTTCAAAGAACTAATGAATTAAAATTAAAATTTTTATTGAAAACAGTTATTTTCTTATACTATATTCTAATTATGCTTTTTCTCACTCAGATCCTTCCCCCTCCCTTCCAACTCCTCCCTACCTCCCTCTCTCTGTCTCTCTCTCATAAAACAAAGCCAAAAACACAATATATTGGAAAAGACCAGTGAGGTTAAAGAAAATTTCCAAAGAAAGCAATATGAGACAGCAAATCTCCAAAACTACTTTTGAGTTAGTTTTGTGTTTAGCCATCGACTGCTAGGCATGGTGCCTGTGCTTACGTGTGGTTTGCATGCACACTGAGGCTCTTTGAGAAACTAATTATTCCTTTGCAAATGGTTGGGAATGGGAACTTGTGTATACCTTCATGAAATATTGAAACCATTATTCGCCAATATATGTTTTTCAGTGAGGGCAGACATTCTTGCAGGGATATTTCCAAGAACCATCTGACAGGTGAAATGCTAACAGTTCTCAGGAAAGGAGGCTCTGAATGAACTCTTTGTTCTCTGGTATCCAGTAGCTACAGTGTTTTTCTTCATGGTTGTGGGCTCTTGGTTTATTCCCACAGAATGGAGAGGAAGAGAAGGGAATGCAGCAGATATTAATGCCCCACACAGCTTGCTATTTTTATCCAAGATTCCTCTTCCTTAGTTTTGAATAAATGCTTCTTGGATTTATACAAGTTGAAAAACAAATTGGTTAAGACAGTTTTTTTTTAAGTTTTCTTCTTTTATGGAGGAATTTGAAAGGCATTTACTTATCTTTTTGATTTATTTAATTTTTTATTTATACCTATGTGTGTGTTTCTGTATATATTTTACATATGTACAGGTACCTGCAGGAGGCCAAAGGAGGATGTCAGATTCCCTGGAGCTAGAATTACAGGCAGTTGGGAGTCGATCTTCTTGGTCCCTTGTAAGGGCAGCAAGTGCTCTTTAACTAATGCACCATCTCCCTAGCCCATGTTTACTTAAGTAGACTGAACAGATGGCTTAGTAGTTAAGGATACTGGCTGTCCTTCCGGAAGACCCAGGTTCAAACCTTAGCACCTATGTGGTGGCTCCCAAGCACCTATAATTCCAGTTTCAGGAATTTCAGCACCCTCTTCTGGTTTCCAAGGCCACCACACACACACACACACACACACACACACACACACACACACACACACACACACACACACACAACATGTTTTAAGTTTTACTTGTCTTTATGTCTGTGCATATGCTTGTGCTTGAATATATTAGGATGGCCTTGGAAGCCAGAAAAGGGTGAGTTTTGTGTTCAGCTACAGGTGCTGCCTCAGTAGTCTCAGGAAATAAAGCAGAGCAATTAAGGAAGCTATCGAATTTCAACTTCTGGCCCCCACATGCACACCCTATACGTGAATACATATACATGCATACGATACATGTGCTCAATGGCTTTTAGTATATGCCTAGCTTAGTAGAGTTATCTTCAGAGCCAGTTCTGGATCTTTTTCATTATCTCTGAGAATCCCCAGCTCCATCAGTGGTGGGACGCCCTCACAAAAACAGAATTCTAATAATCATATCAAAAGCATACTAATTGTACAGATAAAACCTTGTAAGACAGTCCTTTGTTATGATGATCCTTTTAGTTAAAAGTGCTATCTTTTAATAGAAGAAAAGGTAACTTTTAAATAACAACAGCTTTGTTTCTAACAGGTAAGAGGAATGACATGTGCCTCCTGTGTCCATAAAATTGAGTCTACTCTCACAAAACACAAAGGGATCTTCTACTGCTCTGTGGCCCTGGCCACTAACAAAGCACATATTAAGTATGATCCAGAAATCATCGGTCCCAGAGATATTATCCATACCATTGGAGTGAGTGCCATGATTTTGCTTTTCTTTCTTACCTTTCCAGTCAGCCACTTCCTGGAATCAGGTCTGGTTTACATTAAATAGAAACAATTAAAAGACTGTAGCCCCTTGACTATTTCTCATAAGAACACTAGTGTAAGTATGTCTGATTTTGTACTCCCTGCCTGTGGCCTTCATCAGGAAAACTTAGACAAAGGCACATTTGCGTGATTAAATCATGAACAGACTTCAGCTGGAACTATCAATCACTTAAAGTATTTGGGAAATTGATATAAAGTGCGATTTATAAGGAAGACTCAAGCTAATCACTATGAAATTAAAGCATCATGCTAGATTTGTTATGGTCTCTTAAAGCAAAGCAGAACAAAAGAAAACAAAAACACTTTCAAGTTAAAATGCCAAAACTTTTTTTGTGTGTGTGTGCTAAGTTCCTCCTGTGATCTTCAGTGTATCTTAAGCAGTAATACATATAGGTGCAGTGTCAGTGGGCTATGAAATTGGTGTTCTGATGATTGAAAGCATATTATAAGGTAAGTAATATCTTATTAGTTTACGCAGCAATACCATTGATATCTGTGAAGCTGGTATTACTGAGTACCTACCCTAGCAATATTCAGCAGGTACTCGATTATGCTACCAAGCTTAAGTTCTGGATGCTCACAGCAGAGCTGCCATCTTATTTCAGAGGTGAAACAACTTGAGAAGTTACTTGTTAAGTTTAATGAGACTTGATCCTCATCACTCTGGCCCTAGAGCTCACATTTGCTCTTTTTACACTGCCAACAACCACAAGATGGCAGCCATTTCCCTAGCAGATGAAAACATAGTGTGTGTAACTGTCTGTGCCCATGTGAATCTTACTTAGGTATCCCTCCCTTTGTATACTTAGCAGTATTGGGGGAAAAAAAAACAAAAAACTCTTGTTCATGTTCTTTTTTTTTTGGAGGAACAAGTTTGAAGCTTGCTATGTAGGCAAGGCCTTGGACAATGTATTTAATATAGTACCAGCTTTTGTGCTCGGTCAGTGAAAACCTCTATTGCACTTGAGTACAATTACTAGTTCGAGAGTAGCAGAACAGTAGCTAGAATCAGTGTGCTATTAATTTCTTTGCAAAATTAGGACTTGGAGAGGGGCATGGGAGGAGATGAAGGTGGGAAGGTGGGATTGGGAGGGAATGAGGGAGGGAGCTACAGCTGGGATACAAAGTGAATAAAATGTAGTTAATATAAAAAATAAAAATAAAAAAATATATAAGGGAAAAATTAGAAACCAAAGTCATCAAGGGCAGAAAGCTCTGGACACCTTCATGTTTCTATTCCTCAAAATGACTTACTCGGGAATTGAACTAAGTTGTTCTAAGTGCTAACAGCATGGCTTAGAATATCTCTGCATTGAGTGAAATGATGTTTTTCTCCTGAATTTCCTTAGAGCTTAGGTTTTGAAGCTTCTTTGGTCAAGAAAGATCGGTCAGCCAGTCACTTAGATCATAAACGAGAAATAAAACAGTAAGTACTTTGGAATTGTCAATAAATAAATTTCAACTCCTTTTGGAAATTTAACATCTTGTTAGCCTGTCATTTTGTTGTTGGTGGTTTTTGAAACAGGGTTTCTTTGTGTAGCCTTGGCTGTTCTGAACCCTGTAGAGCAGGCTGGCCTCAAACTCACAGAGATCCGCCTGCCTCTGCCTCCTAAGGCGCTGGCATTACTACCGTGTACATACCTGTAATACATACCATGCATTACATGGAATACATGTCATACTACATGTATTACTACCATGTGCATGTGATACTACCATGCCCATACATGTTGTCATGTTAGTTTGTACGCTAGCCTTTTTCAAGATTTACTTTTATTTTTAAATTGTGTGTATATGTGAGTGTGTGCCACATGTATGCAGGAGCCTGCGGAGGCCAGGTCACTGGATTTGCTGGTACTAGAGTTACAGATGCTTGTAAGCTGTGAGCTGATGCGGTGATAGAATTGAACTTGGGTCCTTTTAAAGAGCAGTACGAGCTCTTAACTATGGAACCATGGCTCCAGTCTCATTATATATTCTTACACTGAATGAGAGGGTTACAATCTGTGTTTCTCTATATTACATAGAATAACTTTTAGCTACTTGCTAAAGTGTGTGTATGTTTTTTTTTTCTTTTGAAAATATTTGCATATTAGATGGAAAAGGTCTTTCCTTGTGAGCCTGTTTTTCTGTATCCCTGTAATGGGACTGATGATATATATGATGGTTATGGATCACCACCTTGCAACTCTTCATCACAATCAGAACATGAGTAGTAAAGAAAGGATCAACATCCATTCTTCTATGTTTCTGGAGCATCAGATCTTGCCAGGACTGTCTATTATGAATTTGTTGTCCCTTCTATTGTGTCTACCTGTACAGGCAAGTGATATATTAACAAGTTTGTTATATGATCTTCATTAAAGGTTGAAAAGTGAGAGTTAAGGGTTTAGTTCGGTTGTAGATTATTTCCCTAGTATACTGAGAGCCCTGGGTTCAATCACAGCACAATCAAAAACCCCAAAGCAAAACAAAAGGTGATAGTACTAACAACTAATTGATGCCAATTGTATTAATAGAAGACAAGCTCTCCTGTTACTCTCCCCAACAGAGGTCATGCCTTGTAATTGACTTTTGAAAAGGAGCTATGTTTTATGTATTTTTAAAAACCCTTTCTAAAATGTATGAATTCTTTTGCTAATTTACTTGTTTAAGCTAGCATCAAAAAGAAAAATGTGGAGGCAGAGTCAGACAGATCTCTGAGTTTGAGGCCAGCCTGTCCTACAGAGTGAGTTCCAGGACAGCCAGGGCTACACAGAGAAACCCTGTCTTGAAAAAAAAAAAAGAGAGAGAAAGAAAAGAAAAATACAACAGCCATCTCACTTTCTTTAAGGTATGAAGTATCCACTGGATCATAGAGGATGTCCTTTGGTATCTTGCACAACAAATTTGAAAACGTTATTCTGCACATACCTCTGCTAAAATGCAAACTTGCTCCAGCTCAAAACCTCCCCCTACAGCCAGGTGGGGTAGTGCATGCCTATAATCCCAGGAGTTGGGAAGCAGAAACAGAAAGATCTTGCCAAGTTCAAGGCCAGCCTGGACTACATATGAGGCTCTATAACATAGTGTTTATGGATTAGTTAAATGGCATAGAGAATAAACATCCTTCCTTTATACTAAGTTTACTTAGGTATACATGTGAATTTCAGGACTTGGCAAATTCAGTAAGTCTCCTCTTCTGTTACAGTTTTGTGGAGGCTGGTACTTCTACATACAGGCTTACAAAGCTCTTAGACATAAGACAGCAAATATGGATGTGCTGATTGTGCTGGCAACCACCATTGCGTTTGCCTACTCCCTGGTTATTCTTCTGGTTGCAATGTATGAGAAAGCCAAAGTGAATCCTATTACCTTCTTTGATACACCTCCTATGCTGTTCGTGTTTATTGCACTAGGCCGATGGTTGGAACATATAGCAAAGGTAAAGTAAGAAAGTGTACCATTTGTTAAAGTATTGGATCAGTTAAAGGCCTTTGTTGTTTTCTAAGTCATACTAGAAATATACATTGATGTCTGTAGTTCCATTTTAGTTTTAGCATTATCTTCAGTAAGTTTATCAAATTTATATTACTGCCAAGGATAGGGCATTCCTGTGGTACTTTTTGAGAAACATTCGAGAAGTACTTATTTGTTCTATCATATTGTTAATCGAGAATTGATTTGGCCATATGGTTTAAAACAGTGATGTCAAAGCCCATTCATGCTGCCATGCTGTGATAAAGTCAGTTTCTTCCCTGTTCCATGTAACTTTATGCTTAACAGAGTTGAAGGCATAATCTATGTGCCTCTCAGTACCCTGAGCACTGTACAGTTTTTCCCTGTGTACAATCTAGACAATCGCTTGCTAGTTCTGTCAACTCAATGTGTCTCATTTGCTAAACCATTCTAGTTTTCTTCTCAATTAAGTTTTTTTTCCAATTTTTTTTTGTTTTAGATAATCCTACACTGAACATAATCATGTCTAATAGTCATTCCCGCTGAGTTGAATAGGAGTAATTAGAAAGGATATGATTGCTGTTTTAAAGGACATACAATTTTCCATGGTCTCATGCTATAAGCTGTGGGAAATTTTGCCAGCTAGGGTCTGTCAGCAAAGTGGTTTTTATTACGACGTCCTGAGCATCACATCTTATTTAAATCGTTTCTAATTTGGCAGATGTCAAATGAATTTACAAGATGGCTTTAGCTTGAGTTTCTTTTAGTAGTCTTCTTCTTAGTAGTTTAGATAAACATTTTTCCATACACTGAGTATTTATATTCCCTCTTGAAAGATCTACTTGTTCTTGTGCTTTGCTCATGTATGAATTATATTCCTGGTATTTTTCTATTAATTTGTATTTCTTTGTAAATTACACCTAGTACTTTAAAATGCTTTTTACAAATTATATTATTAATATTCCAATGTAAATTTTTTTCTGATCAAATGTTTTTCTTAAGCTGATGTTTGAGCGAATATTAAAAGATTATATCTTTAAGGTTTGAATACTTTTTTTCAGCATCATTACTGTTTTTTAATTTATAGGGCAAAACTTCAGAGGCTCTTGCAAAGCTAATTTCACTACAAGCGACAGAAGCAACTATTGTAACACTTAACTCTGAAAATCTCCTCCTGAGGTATTTATTTTCATTCCCTTGTAACTTGTTTTAAATATTCTATTGCATTAATTGTATTGTGTTTGGTACACATATGCCATGGCACATGTGTGGAGGGCAGAAGAGAGCTTGTGGGAGTTTTCTCCTTCTACCATGTGGGCCCTAGGAATAGCACTCAGGTTGTTAGGCTTGGTAGCAAATACTCTTACATGCTCAGCCAGCTTACTGGTGCTCTTTTGTGGATTTATTTTGAGATGTATCCAGAAGTAAGGAATGTCATAACGCCGCAAAATCTGACTCTGATTTAACAATTATCCCCATCTTATGATGCTTTATTTCATCTATCTGTTTCATTTTTCTGTTGTTGCAGTAAGAAGTAATTCCCAGTCATATAGTTTTAGTGCTAAATTTTCTACAGTATTTCTTTATAAAAGGATATATTCAGTCAGGTGGGGGCGGGCTATAAACCTTTAATCCCAGCATTCATGAGGCAGAGGTAGGCGGATTTCTGTAAGTTCAAGGCCAGCCTGTTCTATACAGAGCGAGTTCCAGGACAGCCAATGTTACACAGAGAAACTCTGTCTCGAATAAACAAATTAAACAAACAAACAAACAAATAAATAAATAAATAAATAAATACATAAGAGAGCATATTGAAGCTGTGTGTGGTGGTACATACCTGTAATTCTAACACTGTGAAAGCTGAGAGATCCTGACTTTGAGAGTGGCCTGTGTCAACTCCTCACCTTCCCCATCTTTTGACATAAGATCTTGCTCAGTCTCTAGTATTTTTCTAGTGTAAGGAAACGATTTGAAGTTCTTATGTATATCAGGCAAGTGCTCTGTCACTGAGTTCTTGCTTATTTTTCCCCATAGTGATTCCTTTTTCAACTAATGGAAGAAGTAAGAAAGGAAAGAAAGGAGGAACTGTTCTAGTTAAAAGAAGCATAGGATACCTGACCTCAATTATGTATAGCTACTGAGGGTCTCGGGTAACACACTGACTTTGACCTCACTGTATACCCAAGGGTGACTTTGAACTCATAATCCTCCTGTTTCTATTTCGTAAGTGCTGGGATTACTGGTGTATGCTACCATGCCTGACCATGGCACTACCTTTTAAAGCTTTTACTTGCTCAGTTATTATTGAATAAATATTTAGAGTGCTGTCTTTGGGCCAAGACTTTGTTCATTACCGCCAGTGAGCAAAACTAATATAGTTGTTGCTAGCATAAATGTTGGACCTACATTGTGTTGGTAGTATTACAGAGCTGTAAGCTTGACATGATCTCTAAATTGTGTGTGTGTGGGAGGGGTTAGAATAAGAAGCAGATGCCATGACACTTTTTATGTTGACTCATGTGCAGTGAGGAACAAGTGGATGTAGAACTTGTACAACGTGGAGATATCATTAAGGTTGTTCCAGGAGGAAAATTTCCAGTGGATGGCCGTGTTATTGAAGGACATTCTATGGTAGATGAGTCCCTTATCACAGGTATGTTCTGTCAGAGTATCATGACATGAACGTGAAATGAATCCAAAGTGATAATAAAAAGCAGACAATAAAGAAAAACCAATGAATGTATAGCTCATAAGCAATGAATATGAGTTCTTTAGAGACTGCCTTCAGTTTCCTCAGGTTTACTGTATATTTTTAGTATATTGTTGAACACTAAACATTGAAGATTGTTTTGCTCAAGATTTTTTTTTTTTATTTTCTGTAATCCTAGCACCCAGGGAGGCAAAGACAGGTCTATCACTGTGAGTTTGAGGCCAGCCTGGTTTACAAAGTGAGTCCAGGACAGCTGAGGCTACACAGGAAACCCTGTTTCCGAAAAAAGAAAACAAAACAAAAGATTTATTGATTTTTATTTTAAGCATATGTGTGTTCTGCCTCCAAGTGTCCCTAACTGCTGAGCCATCTCTCTAACACCCACACTCAAGAGTCTTAATTAATAGAATGCACAAGAATGAAGTTATTTAATATCTTGTAGAGCTATGTTGACTTTGGCAAATTTCCCAGGGCAGATTATTCTGTTTTCCTGCCTCAGCAACAGATGTGGTCAGAACTGGGCCAGAGCTTCAAGTTTTCCACATCAGGGTAGCTTAAAGAAAGCAGGGCTGGGAGGCTCCTAACAGGAAACAAGTTAGGAGCCTCCCACAGAGGGCCTCTGAAAGGCTCTGCCCTGCAGACTATCAAAGCAGATGCTGAGACTTAATGGCTAACTGTCGGGCAGAGTGCATGGAATTTTATGTAAGAAGTGGGAAATAGTAAGATCTGGAGAGGACAGGAACTCCACAAGGAGAGCAACAGAAGCAGAAAATTTGAGTACAGGGGTCTTTCCAGAGACTCATACTCCAACCAAGGACTATGCATGGAGATAACCTAAGACCCCTGCACAGATGTAGCCCATGACAGTTCAGTCTCCTAGTGGGTTCCATAGTAATGGGAAGAGGGACTGCTTCTGACATGAACTGATTGGACTGTTCTTTGATCACCTCCCCCTGAGCCGGGAGCAGCCTTACCAGACCACAGAGAAAGACAAGGCAGCCACTCCTAATGAGACCTAACAGACTAGGATCAGAGGGAATAAAAAGAAACCCTCCCCTACCAGTGGACTTGGGGAGGGGCATTCGTGGAGAAGGGGGAGTAAGGGAAGAGTTGGGAGGGGAAGAGGGAGGGAACTAGAGGGGGGATACAAAGTAAATAAAGTGTAATTAAAAATAAAATTAAATTAAAATTAAAAAAAATAAATGATAAAAATTAAAAAAAAAAAAAAGCAGGGCTGGAAGATTTTTAGAGATCAGCTTGGCTAATAGAGTCCAGTGTGGATCAGAATGAAAATAACACTTCTCCCAGTTCTGGTGGTCATGGAAAAAGTTCAGTTTATTTCTTCATTCAAGACTCTGTTTCCCAGTAGTCTGCTGTTGCCGGTTTGGGTGAGATTTTTTCCTTAGTTATGAGTCTGGTACAGTGCAGACACACTGACGCCGGCCTATTCAGCAGTAGTGGCAGCACCTGCCTCCCCTCCTTTATTACAGAAATAGAAAACCTCCCTCCCACATTTTGAAATGCCGTCCGTGAGCTTGTGATCTGGGAGGGGAGTGAAGCTCCTACCGTGTCTGTCGAAAAGAGCTAACATGGTGAGCTCTTCCAGTCCACAAATCCCTGTGTCTCTCTGTAAGAAGAAAAGCAGGACAGCTCTTATCTTTGCCAGTGTCCAGATTCAAGAAGAATGTCCTCTCTAGGTATTTGTTGACAGTGAATGAGTAAATGTACGTTTCAACAGGATAGTAATCATTTTTGTCCTCTGATTCCTTTTCCCTCTTCCTTCAGGGGAGGCAATGCCTGTGGCTAAGAAACCTGGCAGCACAGTGATCGCAGGTTCTATTAACCAGAATGGTTCTCTCCTCATCCGAGCCACCCATGTTGGAGCAGATACAACCCTTTCTCAAATCGTCAAACTTGTAGAGGAGGCACAAACATCAAAGGTAGTCTGGTCCCCTAGGAGAAGAAGAAGGCGTTTTTATTAAAGCCTTCTAATATGAATCTTATTTTATGTTTTCTTTTGATTAATACTAGTTGTATTCATGTAGAGTTTATTTAAAATTTTCTGTTTGTGCTAACTACCAAATACATTGTGTATTCAGTATTAGAAAAAAAAAAGACCTCAAGAAACTCATTATTATCATCATTATGATTTTACATTCTAGGCTCCAATCCAGCAGTTTGCAGACCGACTCAGTGGCTATTTTGTTCCATTTATTGTCTTGGTTTCCATTGCTACCCTCTTGGTGTGGATTATAATTGGATTTCAAAATTTTGAAATTGTGGAAGCCTACTTTCCTGTAAGTGACTTACAACCACTCTTGACTATGTGCAAAACACTGTTAATTTTTTTGCAGAGGTAATTAAGTAGATATCATTTTGAGGAGCCGGAAAAATGGCTCAGCAGTTAACAGTATATACTGCTCTTGCAGCAGGCCTGAGTTCCACTCCCAGCACCGTGTTGGGCAAATTGAACCTGTCTGTGACTCCAGGTCCAGCAGGATCTGATGCCTCTGGCTTCTGAGAATCCCTGCACGTATCTTCACATGCCCACACACAGACGCATAGACATAAGACAACTAAATAAATGATGGTGAGCCAGGCGTAATGTGCGTGTCTTTAATCCTAGCACTCAAGAGGCACAGTCAGGCAGATCTTTGTGAGTTTGGGGACAGTCTCCATGAGTACCAGGCCAGCCAAGTTCAAACAGTGAAAGCTCGTCTTAAAACAAGCAAATGAACAAACTTCGGAAATGAGCAGTACTGACTGAGAGTGTAGCGTAGTGGTAGCCTGCCGCCTGGTATTTGATAGCCCCTGAGTTTATCCATGGTATCAAAAAGAAGAAGAGAGGGAATAAGAGAAAAAGGAAATGAAGAAGAGAAGGGAATCCAAATCAACATGTGGGTGCTGTGACTCAAAGCAAGGGTCTTGGCAAGAACAGCCAGCACTCTTAACTGCTTAGACATCTCTTCACCCCCCCCCCAAAGAATACCTTAAAATTAATGTTTATAAAGCTATAGTATTAGTGTCTACCTATGGAGTTCGCTGATGCTTTCTAAAGTAGGGCTCTTTAATGTAGTAAAATAGATCTGTGATGTCCCTAACTTTATTATTTTACTTAGGCAGGCTTTTTTGGTTTTTTTGGGGGGAGTTCCCCTGTGTAGCCTTGGCTGTCCTGAAACTCAGTTTGCAGACCAGGCTGGCCTTGAACTAACAGTGATCCGCCTGCCTCTACCTCCTTGAGAGCTGGGATTATAGCGGTGTGCCACTGCACCTGGCTACTTAAGCAGTCTTTAATGAAAGCTGTACATGAGATTTTTCTACTCCTGTATGTTCCAAATTGTTTCTTCCTTTCTCCTTTTGTTCTTGTCGAGACTTGGCTTTCCCTTCCAGGATATTTTTGTATCTTTGTCTAGCTTTAGCCTGGTGATAACCATCTTGCTGAGGTGGATGCCCACATGAATAGACAGTTGTGCCATCAGCCTTTTCTCACTGCACTCTTTCAGTGTGGATGATATTTCTTTCTGTACACCTGAACCATTTTGCCAATCTGCTGGGCTCTGTAGTGTCCTCGGAGCACAAGCGTCATCATCCTTTTGAATGGTCATAGACAGAACATTATACTCCGTCTCAGCTCTTTGGAAAAAGAGGAAAACCTGATCTTCCTCCAAGTGTGAGAAGGTGCATTGAAATGCCATTTGCTGTTCTTGATTCCATCAGAAGCCACAAAGAAATTGAGCTTCATTTTGGCAGCTGTAGCTCCAGTGATCTACTTTAGACATATAAACTTAAACATGACTTCTCTTTTTGTCAGTGAAGAAGTAGGGATAATAATGCCTAAGTTAAAAGATTTGAATTCACAGAGGTTCAAGCACAGCACATATGTGAGAACCTTTATAGATGACATATATGAAAGTGTAGGCCTGCATATTTATGAAAATCCCTTAGCATGTGTGTGGAAATATGCATGTGAGTGCAAGTGGCCATGGACACCCAAAGAGTGCATCACATCCCTTATAGCTGTACATAGAAATAAATGTGAGTTGCCAACTGTGGCTTCTGGGAACTGAACTTGGGTCTTCTGCAAGAGTAGTAAGTACTCCTAACTACTGAGCCACCATCATCAGTCTCTTCTAAAATTTTTACTCTTGCCAGGCATGGCGACACACACCTGTAATCCCAGCACTTGGGGAGGCAGAGACAGATGGATCGCTGTGATTTCAAGGCCCGCCTCGTCTACAAAGGGAGCCCAGTATAGCCAAGGCTACAGAAAGAAACCCTGTCTTGAAAAACAAAAAAAATCAATCTTGCCACCACACCAAATTTTTTTACTATTTATTTCACTTACTGAGTGTGTGTGTGTGTGTGTGTGTGTGTGTGTAATGTATGCAAATGGTGGAACATATGTGCCACTGTGCATGTGTGGAGGACAGAGGACTACTTTGAAGAGTTTGTTTTGTTTCCACTGTAATCCCTTGGAACTGGACTATGGTTGTGTGGTTATACAGCAACCACTTTTATCTGCTAAGCCATCTTGTTGGCTCCAACCTTTGTTCTCTAAAGTGAATATTTAAGTTACTGTTTTAAAATTTTGTATGAACATCCAATCTATGGCCTCAGTGTCAGAGAATCAGAATTTGTTCAGGGCCAGATTTAGTGACAAATATGTCTCATGTTATTGTTGAAAGCTGCTAATAGTTCTGGAGTTCTGTGTGCTTTATTTTTTTTTTCATAGTAACTCGAGAATCATCAAAAATGAAATTTTGATTTTAAGACTATCACTTGTTAACCAATTTTGCCCCAGTTTTGTCATGTTTATCAATGGAAAAAATGATCATTAAAAAGAAAAATGTATGTAAGTAGCTAGGTAGGATATGTGATTTTGACACAGGTTTTATTTTTTTTTTTATTTATTTTTTTGTTGATTACAGTTTGTTCAGTTTGTATCCCAGCTATATCCCCCTCCCTCATTTCCTCCCATTGACACTTGTTTTATTTAAACAGGATTAAGCTTTATTTTTTTTTTGTTTTGTTTTGAATAGCTCTAACTGTAAATGAGTAACCAAAGTGCATGTCTTTCTTCTAAAGGGCTACAATAAGAGCATCTCCCGAACAGAAACCATAATACGCTTCGCTTTCCAAGCTTCTATCACAGTTCTGTGTATAGCATGCCCCTGTTCCCTGGGACTAGCCACTCCAACTGCTGTGATGGTGGGCACAGGAGTAGGTGCTCAGAATGGCATACTTATAAAAGGTGGGGAGCCCCTGGAGATGGCTCATAAGGTAAGAGTCTTCAGAACTAAAAGTTGATCTATCAAAATGCAATCACATCCTATTGAGAAATAGGTTTCTTAGTTCTTTGCCCATGGTTCCTAGGCTAAGCCTCTTCTGGAACTACCCTGAAGGTAGAAATAGAAAACTTGGGATGTTGGTTCCTCAGATGTGCCTTGATTATTTAAAATCTCTAATAATACTCCCTCAGCCGTTCCCTGAGAGCAGACCCTGAATGGAAAACCACTGTAGTGCCAACCCATCTCAGATTACACTAGCACTTGCCTGGGAAAATTTGCCAGGGCCTCCAAGGCTTCTGACACATTTGTGTCTGAGTCCACATTATGGTAGCTGCACCTGCAATAGCAGTGTCTTTGGTGCTACCAGCTAGCACTTTACAGCTAGGACTTCCACCTCAATTAAGGCTGCATTCAACTAAAGCCATGGTCTCACTAGTCAGGGTGTAGTGGCGCACTCTAGTAATCCCAACACTCAGGGAGGCAGAGGCAGGCAGATCTCTGTGAGTTCAAGGCCAGCCTGGTCTACAAAGTGAGTCCAGAATAGCCAAGGCTGCACAGGGAAACCCTGCCTCAAAAAACAAACAAACATAAGCAATGTTCCCACTAATACAATTTCATTGTGAGTATATAAAAATATATACAGATGCATGGAGGATACATAGTACATGGCTAAAACACACCTGGAACCTTGAGTAGCATGTATATGTGTGTGTATATATATATATATATACACACACATATACATATATGTGTGTGTATATATATATATATATATATATACACACACACACACACAAGCTAGAATTTTTAAAACATGTATGGGTATATTACCTGTATGTGTGTGTGTGTGTGTGTGTGTATATATATATATATATATATATATATATATATATATATATATATATATATATATATTAATGTACCACATGTATGCAGAGGCCAGAAGATGGTGTTGGATCACCTGAGACTGGAATAGTAGACACCTGTGAGCTGCCATGTAGTTCTGGGAACCAAACCTGGGTCCTCTGAAAGACCAGCTAGTGCTCTTAACTATATCTCTCTAGCTCTAAGGATTTTTTTTAAGATTAGTTTTTATTTTTATTTATGTGTGTACACCTTTATGTGTATAGGTTCCTGTGGAAGCCAGAAGGGTGTGTCAGATCCCCTAGAGCTACAGTTACAGTTTTTTTTGTGAGCTGCCTAACATGGGTGCATGAGTGCTAGGAACTGATAGGCGTCCTCTGTAAGACCATAGTGCTTTTAACCGCTGAGTTCCCAGGGTAGTAATTTTTATAGAAAGAAAATTTGGCATAATTTCAAACCTAAAAAAGGTGTTCCCCTTTCTATAGCTGTTGGGCCCCTATCCTAAGAACAAGGACCCCAGTACATTTATCAAAATAAATTAATATTGACATTATGCTGTTATATAATATGTAATTTCATGTTCTGCTTTCCTCTGTTGTTTCCATGATAACCTTTTACAGCAGTTTTTTCTCTTGTCCAGATGATGCTTTGAATATTGTTTCCATCTTTTTTTGTTTTCAGAGATAAGGCTTCTGTTTGTAGCCTTGGCTATCCTGGAACTCACTCTGTAGACCAGGCTGGCCTCAGACTTTTAGAGGTCTGCCTGCCTGTCTCCCTGAGTGCTGGGATTAAAGGCGTGTGCCACTGCTGTCCAGATTATTATTATTTTTTTAATATCAGTTCATTGGGCTATTCAGTCTTCAGGGTTCTCATTCTGGGTTTATAGTGAGGTGAGCTTGGTCTCTAACTCCAGATTATTCCCTCTTACTTTCTCAAAGTGCTTCCTCAACCTTCCTCTTAATAGCCCAAGTTCTTAACCAAGACCTAGCCAAGGCAAACAACTCAGCAGTATTACCTTCAACCTAATATTTACATTTTCTTTTACAGCCATCTGCTCACTACCCAAATTTCTCTAACAGATCTAGTAGTGAAAGCCTTTGTGTTTTCCCTAGAGATGCTAGTAATGTCACTTAATTACCCATAACTAACAGCTTTAGTTTTTTTTTTTAATACAAATTCACAGGCATTTAACAAGATTAAAACTCAACTGTGGGGTAGAAAAATTAGTTGCTACTAAGATGTATCTTATTATGCCTTTTGTTCACCCAAAGATGATTTAGTTGATGAAGTTGTGAAGCCAAAGACCAGTTTCTTAAGAAATGAAATAGCAGTCTGTTAAAAATAAGCCTGTTTCTCATTTCTGGGACGATGATGTCACATAGGTGTATTTTAAACTTTTCTCCAGGTGAAGGTAGTGGTATTTGATAAGACTGGAACCATTACACATGGAACCCCAGTAGTGAATCAAGTAAAGGTTCTGGTGGAAAGTAACAAGATATCACGTAATAAGATCCTGGCCATTGTTGGAACTGCAGAAAGCAACAGCGAACACCCTTTAGGAGCAGCTGTCACCAAATATTGCAAGCAGGTACAATTTTATCTTTCATATTTATGTTGTCATCCCGTGGAGGAATGATGCAGACCAAATCTGGTCTGGCCTTTGACCAATTTATATATAATTAGTATGAGGCTAAAGAGAATTGTATTTTCTCTTTTTTGTTTGTTTGTTTTTAAGACAAAGTTTTTCCATGTAGCTTTGGTTGTCTTAGACTCACTTTGTAAACCAGGATGGTCTCGAACTCACAGAAATCTGCTTGCTGACCACTGGGATTAAAGGCATGTTCCACCACTGTCCGGCCCTTTTTTTTTTTTTTAACTTAATTCAATGTAATGGGTCTAGAAATGTAGCTCAGTTGGTAGAATGCTTGCCTAGATGCTTGAAGCCCAGGTTTAATCCCTGACAACAATAAACTCAGCATGTTAGCACATGCCTTTAATCCTAGCACTCATGAAACAGAGGCAGGCAGATTTCTGAGTTCAAGGCCAGGCTAGTCTACACAGTGAGTTCTGGGACAGCATCACTACACAGAGAAACTTTGTCTCAGAAAAAAAAAATAACAAATTAAAAATTTCAAGTTCATCTTCATTACATAGTAAACTCGAAACCAGCCTAGACTGTATAAAACTTTGTCTCAAAAATTATTATGTACTAGTTTTTTTTTGACATACATAACTGTAAACCTAAAAAAATAAATGAATTCTGATCTTACCACACAGTAACCCCTGTTTGACATAAAACATTAAAATAGAAGTAATATGTTTTGGTTGCATAATTTATGTGATAAAAATGGAACCCTTATTCCCTTCCCCCAATATAATTTCTCTCTTCAAAAATTAATAATTGTTATCTTATTACTAGTCATTTTAAATAACTTAATTTTTTTTCAAGACAGGGCTTCTCTGTGTAATGTTGGATGTACTGGAACTCACTCTGTAGACCAGGCTGTCCTCGAACTCACTGAGATCCACCTGCCTCTGCCTCTGTGAGTGATGGTATTAAAGGTGTGTGCTGCCACCATCCGGCTCTTAATTATTTTTTAATTTATAAACTTTGGTAACTAATTTCTGGTATGTTCACAAGTGTTAATGTTAATGTTATTTATTTACTTAAAGATTTAGTTTAGTTTACTTATGGATGTGTGTTTCTTCTGTGTGTGTGTATATGCACACCAGAAGCGGTTAGATTTCCTCAAGATGAAGTGACATTTCTGAGATGCCTGATGTGGGTGTTGGGACCCAAATTCCAGTCCTCTGATAGTCGTATGTTCTCTTAACCACTGAGCAATTTCGCCAGAATAATCTCATTCTCTTAAGAGCAAAGATTTTCTTAAGTCATCCAGGTTTTTGTTGGCTCCTGCACTTAAATGATGCTTCTGCCTGAGTGTCCCACATGGCTAGGCCTAAAGGCATGTGCCATTGCACCTAGTTTATGTACTTTTTTGTTGCCTTTGAGACAGTCTCATTACGTAGCTGAGGTTGGCCTGGAACTTGCTGTATGGCCAGGCAGAACTTGAACTTGCAGTACCCGCACAAATTTCTATCTTTCAAGTGCTGGGTGTGTGCCACCATGCCCACCTGCATTCATCATTTTAAACTTTACATTGAAAGCCATAAAAAGACCAGTCTCTGCTACCTTGCTTTTTATTTTATTAGATGAATTTTCTCTATCAGGAAATACAATTCTACCCCATTGTTTTACATTCTGTTCTCTGAGTGCTGCTTTGCTTTCAGTGTACACTGAGCATTCTTGTCAGCTTTTTGCAAACCTGTCTTTACATTAAATATGTATCAGTGTAATTACTATATCAAAGGATGGTTACAGTTTCATTTTTTACGACTAACATCCATACAAATGGTTCTATGAATTTTTACCTGCACCCAAAGTTTTGAGTGCCTGTCTTCTTATATTTTTGCCAACATTATTTATAATTAAAAATTGCTACACCACTATTGTGTGTTTGTTTGTTTGTTTGTTTGTTTAGTGTGTTGTGTTTCTGTTTGTTAGGAGCTGGACACTGAAACCTTGGGTACCTGTACAGATTTCCAGGTTGTACCAGGCTGTGGTATTAGCTGTAAAGTCACTAATATTGAAGGTTTGCTACATAAGAGTAACTTGAAGATAGAAGAAAATAACATTAAAAATGCATCCCTGGTTCAAATAGATGCAATTAATGAACAGTCATCAACATCATCTATGATTATTGATGCTCATCTCTCAAGTAAGCTGATTTCTTTGTAGTAGTTTATAGATCTTTGTAGATTTCTTTTTTTAGCTTGATTTTTTTTCTTCTTTTTTTAATTGAAAATAGGTTCTTGTCTCATACAGTACATACACCACAGTTTTCCCTCCCTCTACTCCTCCCAGCCCTTCTCCCCTCTCCCCATATCTAGTCCCCCTCCAACTCTCATCAGAAAAGACCAGACTTCCAAGAGACAACCACTGAACACAACAAAACAAAACAGAGTAAGACAAGGCAAAAACTGTCACACCAAAGCTGGAGAAGGCAACCTAACAGGAGGAAAGACTCCCAAGAGCAAGCAGAAGAGTAAGACACATCTGCTTCTACGGTTAGCTGTCCCATGAAAACACCCAACTAATAGACATAACATATATGGAGACGACTTGTTCAGACCCGTGCAGGCCCCAAGCTTGCTGTTTCAGTCTCTGTGATCCCATATTAGCCCTGCTGAGTTGATTCATTGGACCATGTTCTCCTGATATCCTTCATCCCCTATGGCAACTACAATCTTTCTACTCCATGTTCTATGGGTGGAAAGAAGGACCTGATGAAGACTCCAATTTAGCCTCTCCACATGTCTGGCTATGGGTCTCTGCATTCACTCTTACCTGTCACCAAAGGAAGCCTCTCTGATGACAACTAGACAGGCCACCAATCTACAAGTTTAACAGAAGGTCATTAAGAATCATTTCATTGATCTATTTTTTTTTAGACCAATCATGTTTTTTTTTTTTCCACCCTAGGTCTCTAGGCTATCCAATCTCTGTTTCCTACATGCCAAACAGTGTCAGGAATGGGCTGTGTCTCATAGCATGGGCCTCACATTAAATAAGACATTAGTTGTCTACTCCCACAAGTTCTGTACCATCATTGCCTTAGCCTATTATGCAGGCAAGACAGAATGTAGATCAAAGGGTTTAGAGCTGGGTTGGTGGTATCTTCCCACACCAGACAGATGAGGACATAGGGGTGAAGACTCCATGCGGGCACCAGCTCAACCTCTACATGTTCAATGAACTGTGCAGATGTTGTCATTGGCAATGGGGCCCCTCTGTCCTAGTATCAGTGTAGACTGTTTGGGGATCTCCACAGGACCCCCTTAGCCAACAACTTAAACAAATGTAACTCAGTCTCACTACTGGGAGCCTTGCATGGCTACTAGAGATGGCCAGTTCAGACTTTATATTCACCATTGCTGAGAGTCCTCACCAAGATCACTTTCATAGATTCCAGAAAGTTTCCACTGCACTAGGTTTCCAAAACACCCCCTTTTGCCCCCCAATTCCAGCCATCTCTTCCTACAACTCTTTCCTTCCATCCCATCTTCCCCTACCATTTCATCTCTGCCACTCCCATCCCAACCTGTCCCCAGTCTACCTACAAAATTCATTCTATTTCCCCTTCCCAGGGAGATCGATGTATCCCCCCTTGACCCTTTCTCTTTACCTCATCTCTCTGGGTCTGTGAATTGTTGCTTGATTATCATTTACCTGACAGCTAATATCCATGTATAGGTGAACCCATACTGTATTTGTCTTTCGGGGTTTGGGTTACCTCACTAATGATGATTTTTTTCCCTCTTTGCCTGCAAATTTCCTATTGTTAATTTTTTAAACAGCTGAGTAATACTCCATTGTATAAATGTGCCACATTTTGTTTATCCATTCTTCAGTTGAGAGACATCTAGGTTGTTTCCAGTTTCTGGCTGTTATGAATAAAGTCACAATAAATATACTTGAGCAAGTATATTTATGGTAGGATGCTGTGTTCTTTATGTATAGGCCCAAGAGTAGATTGATTCCCAATTTTCTGTGGAACCACCATATTTATTTCCATAGTGGCTATGCAAGTATGCACTCCCATCAGCAATGGAGGAGTGTTCCTTTTTATCCACATCCTCTGACCAGCATGCGCTGTCACTTGAGATTTTGATCTTAGCCATTCTGATGTGTATAGGATGGAATCTCAGAGTAGTTTGGATTTGCATTTCTTTGATATCTAAGGATGTTAACATTTCTTTGAGTGTTTCTTAGCTATTTGAGATTCTATTGAGAATTCTCTGTTTAGAGCTGTACCCCATTTTTAAATTGGATTACTTAGGTTTTTTGAAATCAGTTTCTTAATTTCTTTATATATTTTGGAAGTTAGTCCTTTATTAGATGTGAAGTTGGTAAAACAAAAATATTTTACCATTCTGTATACTGCTGCTTTGTCCAATTGATGGTAATACCTTCTGACTAAGACTTTTTTAAGTTGTTTATAGACCATTTTTTTGACTTATAGTTCTTTTGAGAGAATGTGATAAAAGTTGTGGATCACCTGCATAATAAGTAATATGTCTACTTTAAAAGGTTAATTTATATCTTAGAGCCCTTTCATGGATCTTAATTAAGGATCTTTGGGGTTTTTTGTTTGTTTGTTTTGAGATAGGTTCTCACTATGTACTAGTGGCTGCTATGAAACATTTTACTATATACACCAGGCTAGCCTAAAGCAGAGATCCACTTCCTTCTGCCTCCTGAGTACTGAGATTAAAGGTGTGCACCACTGTGACTCACTCAGAATCCTTGCTTTAATTGTTCTCTCTCATTCAGGATTTTGGTATCTGCTCTGTTCTGTTCACTCTCCCATATCCCTTATTATTCATCTTTTTCTTCCTGATGCTCCACATGTGCTCTATATGTGCTCTATATTCCAGTGATATTAGTTACCTACCTATAGGTCTTCCTCAGGGCCTACCATTTAGCCTTTATTTTTTCTTGACAAAAAAAGTTAATACATTTTTTTCTTCTATCCCTCTACTAATTTATTTATTCACTTTACTCCTGATTGCAGCCTGCCTCACTCCTCACACACCTCTTCCCTCATTCTTTCCTCTCCTCCTCAGAGAAAGTACCAACCCACCCTTGCACATTAAATCACTGCAGGACTAGGTACATCCTCTCCCACTGATGCTAGACAAGGCAGCCTAGTTAAGGGAACGGGATCCAAAGGCAGGCACCAAAGTTAGAGAGGGCCCCTGCTCAGCCATAAATAGCATCTACCCTGTTGACTTATGTTTTTCCTTCTAGACCTAACTTACATCTTTTTCAATGATACTTTCACTGACATAAATGCTGATAGAAATACTTGCTCTTCTTAAATTATAGCTGTACTTCTTTTCTCTTATATTATACACACTACAAAGTAAGTATTTCCTGGCCATTTTTACTTCTCTGTGACTTCTTTTTTATTTGTGTATGGATGTCATATCAATTAACTAACCTATAAAGAATCACTCAACAGCCTTTGTGGAATATTTGTTATGACAGCACTATAGAGAATCATCAGTGAGTACAGAGTTGTAACTCAGTGGTACACCTCTCTAATAGTTTTCTATTTTCTTTGTGTTTAGCATATGTGAGACCCTGGATTTGATCTCCAGCACCACTGAGGGAAGAGATGGAGAGCTAGGAGCACAAAAAAGGCTGGGAGATGAGTTGTCATAACCCAAGCAAAATATAACAGTGGCTCAGACTAGTGTGATAATAGTACAGTTTGTAAAAAAAAAAAAAAAAAAGTGGTCAAATTCCAGATATGTCTTGAAGGGAAAGCTGAAATATTTAATTACCAATTGGATATATAGAAGATGAGTAAAATAAGAGTCAAGGGGCTGGAAAAATGGCCCACCAGTTAAGAACATTGACTGCTCTTTCTGAGAACACAAGTTCAATTTCAGGCACCCACATGGCACCACACCACTGGCTATTAACTCCAGTCCCAAGGGATCCAATGTCCTCTTCTGACTTCCATGGGCACTGCACACACACAAAGCAGTGACATACATGCAATCAAAACACCTGCGGGTGTGACACATAAAAACTAATTGATTTTTAAAAATTAAAACATAAGAGTCAAAGCCATGCCAAAATTAGTAACCTACCATTTATATGGATGGAGTTACTGTTAAATAAGATAAGAAAGACAAGAGGAACAACAGTGGAGACAAGATCCAGTTTTATAGAAGTTACATTTGGGTGCCTGTTAGCTATCTAAGAAGAGATACCATACAAATGGAAATATTAGGTAAGAAGGTGTCTACAGGGGCCTGCAGATCCAGGAAGGGACTGAATTAGAAATGCAGAGTTGGGAGTCATTTGCTTTGTAGATCTGTGTTATTTAATACAATAATCACTACTTACATGTCATTGTTTAATTTTGAGTTGATTAAAATTTAGGTTCATATGAGCCAGGCATGGTGGTGCATGCCTGTAATCCCAGCACTCTGGCAGAGGCAGGCAGATCTCTGTGAGTTCAAGGCCATCCTGTTCTACAAAGTGAGTCCATGACCACCAAGGCTATACAGAGAAATCCTGTCTGGATAAAAAAAAAAAATGTTCATGTAAAATGCAGTTCTTTGATCATTTTGGGCCCTCAGTAACCACATGTGTTAGATAGTAGCTGTAGACTTAAACAGAAAAAGTGTAGAGCATTTCCAGCATTGCTGGAACCACCGTTCAAACATCACACGATTTACTAAAATAAAGAACTGGAGCACTGTGGGAATAGTTAATTGGAATAGTGGAGACTAAAACCTTATTGGCAAGAGTTTGAAAGAGAAAGGGAAGAGGTGCCTTAAAGACAGCTCGTAGGAGAAATGCTTTTGAGCAGTCCTGCTGTGCACAGAAGCACAGAAATGTGGCAGCCAGAGCAGTGGGCTCAAGAGAGGTTTCTTCTGTTTGTAAGGCCAGGACGGTGTGCAGCAGAGATAATGAAAAATTGATTATTCAGGGAGGAGAGAAGAGAGTAGTTGGAGAGATGATCTGCAATAGGCAAAAGAGGGTGACCTAGTGTACAGGTATAGAGAGTGGCCTAGAGAAGGCACAGGCTTTGTTTATAATAGGGAAAACAAGCTGTGTACACCTAGGAGGCACAGGAGCTGGGAAGATATAGCCACGAGAAGGCCTCTTATGACTGCAGGGAGCAGCTGCATCTTGGATGAGCATGGGGGAGGAAAAGGAAAGACTTTGCAAAGAGCAATTTCAAATAATCACCCTGAAAAAGTAGAGTGGACTACGGACAGGCAGTCAAACATCTGTCCACCAGAACTAAGAGCTCATGTAAAGTTAGTAGTTACAAGTTTACAATGAGACATCAACACAGCTGCATATTGACATGCAGCCACTTTCAGCTACCGAGGAACAATAAGTATTTGAACCGTGGTGGAGTGTCAAAGAGAAAACTTCAGGAAGAAGGGAACCTCTGAACTAATACATTCTCAGTCCCCCCCCACCCCACCCCACCCCTAATGTTGCTGGAGATTGAACTTGCTGTTTGGAGAGAAAGGTTAAGGACGTTTGGGTGTTGGTAGCAATATGGGCTCAGAAGTATGAAAGAGCATTTCATATTTACATTTCATTACATATTCATGTAAAACTTGAAAATCACTGTAATAGGTTATATTCTGCCAAAAATGTACTGTAGAGCTTGCAAAGTTGGGCGGGAAGAACTTGCCTCCTGAGATGGATTTAAACGTTAAATAATCTCACTGAATGTTATTTCTGTACTTCTAGATGCTGTTAATACTCAGCAGTACAAAGTCCTTATTGGTAACCGGGAATGGATGATTAGAAATGGTCTTGTCATAAGTAATGATGTAGATGATTCCATGATTGAACATGAAAGAAAAGGTCGGACTGCTGTATTGGTGACAATAGATGGTAAAGTTTCCCTGAAATACATTGGCAGGATTGTGATTTCAGTGATTGTTTTATGTGTCTGTGAGACTTAAACTATGAGGTTTATTTCAGAGGCTTTAATACAAAGTTAAAATATTAGTAAAATATGGTTGTTAATAATTCAGAATTTTCTCACCAGCTGTTGAGGCACATGCACTTGGGAACCTGAGATAGCAGAATTATGACTTTAAGAACTACACAGGAAGACAAACAAACAAACAAAAACAAGTCAGCAGGTATAATGGTACATGCCTATAATCCCAGCCTTTAGTGGGAGGAAGCAGGAGGACAATAGTTGAAGACTAAGCTCTGTAGTGAGTTCAAAGCTAGACTGCGCAACATGAGACCCTGTGTAAAAAAGACACAAAACAAAAACAAAAAACTAAATTGAGGGGCAGGGAGGCAAAACAACTTCACATTTGGGCCCTAAGTTTAATTCCCAGTACGACAAAAAGAAAACAAGTACCTTGAAGCCAGGCATAGTGCCATACATCTTTTAATCCCAGCAAAGTTAGGCCGATCTCTGTAGTTCAAGGCTATATAGCAAGTTCCATGCCAGTCAAACATACATAGTGAGACCATGCCTCAAAATTTTTTTTCTTGCATTTTTTCACTTTTATTATTTTCTTCCCTTGACTGAAAATTAATCCTGGATTTTAAAAAATGATAAGTTACATAATAACAGAGTAAAATAGCATTCATTATCTCACCATTCTAATATAGCACAAGTTTTAATTTCATGTATTCTCTTCTTAGCTTGTTGGTATATTTTATACATCTTTTTATATATTTATAATACTGTTATTACTTTCTTGCATTTGTGTATTTGTGGTGTACATGCGTATGTTTGTGTGTATACGCATGTGCGTGAGTGCAGGTACATATGTAAGCCTGATGTTGGGTATCTTCCTTGATGGATCCCCAGTCTCTTGTTTTTTAAGGTGAAGTCTCATGTATCCCAAGATGGCCTCAAACTATGTACCCAAGAAAGATCTTGAACTTCTGAGCCTCCCTCCTGGAGCCTCATGTGCTGGGATTATAGGTGTGATCTAGGTACTGGAGATTCACCCTAGGGTCTTGTACATGCTACATGCTAAGCCAACTGAACTACATATCTAGCCTCATAGCATTTTTTAAAATATTTTTATTTTAATTTTTATTAATTATACTTTATTCACTTTGTATCCCCCCTGTAGCTCCCTCCCTTCTCCCCTCCCAATTCCACCCTTCCTCCTCCTTCTCCATACATGCCCCTCCCCAAGTCCACTGATAGGGAAGCATTTTTAACATGTATATTTTATATGTAAAATTTATGTCAATAGAGTTGAATGAAAACTTTAAATTTTTTTTTTTTTTTGGAGGGGGTATGCCGAAAAGATATTTCAGTAATTAAGAGTACTTGCTGTTCTTGCAGAGAACCAGAGTTTGATTCCTAGCACCCATGTTGGGTGTTTCACAGCTTCCTGTAATCTTAGCTCCAGAGGATCTCTCCTCCTCTTCTGGTGTCTTTGTGCATTAGCATGCATGTGTGCATACTTACGTACAGACCACACACAAATATATATGTACATATTAAATCTAAAAAAAAAAACAAACCTTTAAAAATCCTTTTGGAGATGTAGCTCAGCAGTAGAGTACTTGCCTAGCATACTTAAGACTCTGGGTTTTATAGCTAGTGCTGGGAGGGGAAGAAATAAAAAGAAAGGAAAGCTAGGTGTGGTTATGGGCATCTTGGGAGGCTCAGGCAGGAAGACCGAGTTTGAGAGTATCTGAGACTACATAGTGAGATTGGTCTCAAAAAACAAAGCAAGGTGTGGAGTTTAGATCAGTGACATAGTGTTTACTTAACACGGAACAACACTTAGTTCAAACTGCAGTTACACACACACACACACAAAACACACAAAACTAAGGTCACTTGTACACATACTATTTTGTTTTGGTTTATTTTACTTGATGAAATATTTTACACTGCTGCCAGATAATTGTATTATGTATTTATTTCTGCAGTTCTGGCAACCAAACATGGAACAGATATTCTACGCATGTACTTTTTTTTATGCTTCATGAATCTTTATTTAAATTATTTTTATTTTTATTTATTACAGTTTATTCACTTTGTCCCACCTGTACCTCCCTCCCTCCTCCCTTCCCTATCCCACCCTCCCTCTTCCCTACCCATGTCCTTTTCCAAGTCCACTGGTAGGGGAGGTCCTCCTCTCCTTCCTTCTGATCTTAGTCTATCAGATCTCATCAGGAGTGGCTGCATTGTCACTTTCTGTGGCCTGGTAAGGCTGCTCCCCCTCAGGGGGGAAGTGATCAAAGAGCAGGCCAATCAGTTCTTGTCAGAGACAGTCCCTGTCCCCATTCCTATGGAGGCCACTTGGATGTTGAACTCTAGGCATGTACTTTATCAATAAGACTACACCCCATAATTCTAGAATATTATTTTAATTTACATGCTGTATAATAATCATTCCTATGTTGTTGGAAATGTATTGTCTTTGTACTTGTATTTTGCTGTGTTTGTGTGTATGTATGTATCTGTCTGTCTGTCTATATGAGGGCACATGTGTTCCATAGTACACAGGTGGAGGTCAAAGAACAACTTGTGAAAATCAGTTCTCTCCTTTCAACATTTGGATCTTAAAGATCAAACTCAGGTTGTCAGGCAAGCATCCTAACTCACTGAGACATCCTAGTGGCCCTAAGGTGTTCTTAATATTTTACCATAATACTATAATAAGCATATATAATAGTTTTACATGCTTTCTATTTGATAGGATAAATTTCAAGTTCTGAGATTATTTGCTCAACGTTTATAATCCTTGCTAAGTATGAAGGTCATGACTTCATCATTTTAGGTACAAGGAAAAGCAGAGAATAACATTTTACTCCATTGCAGTGTGTGTGTGTACTATGCACACACAGATGCACAACAGTAGTCAGAGAACAGTAGATATCTGGCCCTATCACTCTACAGCTTAGTCCCTTAAGTGAGGGTCTCCCAGTGACCTGGAATTAGAATGACAACCGCAAGCACAATGATCCCTGTCTCCAGCCTCCTGCCCAGTATTAGGGTTACTGGGAATTTGGATGTGAGTCCTCATGCTTGTGTAACCAGTGTTCTTATCCACTGACTCATTCCCCAGCCCTCTTAGTTTTGCTTTTCTTTTTTTGTCTGTTTGTTTTGAGAACGGGTCTCTCTCTGTAGCCTTGGCTGTCCTAGACTCACTTTGTAGACCAGGCTGGCCTCAAACTCACAGAGATCTGTCTGCCTTTGCCTTCTCTATTGCTGGGATTACAGGCGTGTACCACAGTGCCTGGCTTTAGTTTTGTTTTCCAAACAGAAGAAATTAGTACCTTTTGGTAATTTCCCCCTAATATAATATACTACTGTAATCTCCATTCACCTATTAGTTTTTAATTCTGTTTTATTTTAAATTAGCAAAATAGTGTTTCTGGCTATAGTTTAATACTTTAAGAGTGAGTGTCTTTTAACTTCAGTGACATATTTCTTTCCATTTTCTTATTACTACCTTCATTAAATATCCTTACTTTACTCTGTGAATTTTCCACAACCAAATATGGAAGCTTATCACAGAGCTTGTGTTATAAAGTTTGTTTGGGACCAGGATGTTTTGAGTTAAAGTAGTCCTCAATGACTTGACAAAATTCAATTCTTTCTGAAAATTTGTTCTACTGTATTATTCACCATAATCCAACTGTGTTTTTGTTTGTTTGTTTTCGATGCTGCTATATTAGATGAGCTGTGTGGCTTGATAGCCATTGCTGATACTGTGAAACCTGAGGCAGAGCTGGCTGTCCACATTCTGAAATCTATGGGCTTAGAAGTAGTTCTAATGACTGGAGACAACAGTAAAACTGCTCGATCTATTGCTTCTCAGGTAATTAACTGGTTTACTTATTTATTGGGATGGGCACATGTGCTAACATGTCATTCTAAATATAAAACTTTTTCTTCCACTTAAGTGCTTAGAAAGTCATACTAGTTATTGTTTGCATTATCAACAAGTAGATATCCCTAATTGCTTAAAAACAAACAGCATGGTGTGGTAGAAGGACCCTGTATGTTAATGATGTAAGTGAAAAGGTACTTGCTTAGCTCGAGTTTAGTTTGAGTGACATTGCTGCACACTGGTTTCTGTTGATGCTTTCTTTGAAATGATACAAATAGTTTTCATCAGTGGTGCAGGTGTTTTTTGTTTGTTTGTTTGTTTGTTTAAACAAAATCTCAGACATTCCATTTTACCAATAAAGAGTCGGATGCTAGAATGAAAGTCTTGCTGGCTCAGAGAGGCAGAGAAAGCACCAGGTAACCTTCCTGCTCAGTGGACATCCCAGCAGCAAAAAGCCCCTTTTCTTTCTCCACTCTCTCTTAAAACCCCTCAAACTCAATGTCCCTCCCTTCTACCTCCTGTGTCTCTGTCTTCCTCACTTACTCTATGTACTCTATGATTTTTTTCCTAAGTCTTCCTCACTTACTCTATGTACTCTATGATTTTTTTTCCTAAGTTCTTTCTCTCTCTGTTAATTGGTTACTTGTCCTGCCTTTTGACCTATGGTTGACTTTAATTTAATCCTGTTTACAATATTCAAAGAAATTCAATATTCAATAGATTATTCAATATTCAAACATTCAGTAGAAAGCTCTTGGATGAGAGGTGTGCGCTAGTGCTGAGCCACACCACAACTAGAAACAGGTTTTTCCAGTAAAGAACACAATCTCGGGTTTAACCATATGATTAAATATCCTGCAACAGCCAGGCTTTCAATAATCCCCCACTGTAAACATGGCGGCAGCTGCCTGCATGTCCCTCTCCTATCCATTCTGGATGCTATCAGTGAGTCTCTTTTCTTTGACATACCATTTTTCTTAACTCTACATTTGTTTCATCTCTAGCATTTTGGTTTTGTTTTGTTTTCAAGACACGGTTTCTCTGTGTAGCCCTAGGTGTTTTGGACTCACTTTGTTGTAGACCAGGCTGGCCTTGAACTCACAGAGCTCTGCCTGCCTCTGCCTCCACATGTGCTGGGTTTAAAGGTATGTACCACCACACCCAGCTATCTCCAGCATTTTTCAATTAAAAAATCTTAGAATGCCTTTTCTCCTAGTGTGTGTGTGTGTGTGTGTGTGTGTGTGTGTGTGTGTGTGTGTGTG